TAAACAGACATAACAATAATAATCATTATAGTTATTGAGCAACGAGCATAGGATATTTTATGTGATATTATCACATTCACATTGTAAAAATGCTTTTATTTATTATTTGCAAGCATTTATAACCAATTATTATGATACCAAACTTAAGCTAGCAGTGAGCTGAGTCTCGCTTCGTCGAAAATGTTACTGATCAATAAAATATAGATATACATTTTTGATCATTGGGACTAGCGACAATACAATTAGCTAATAGATCAATAAAAAAAATATAGTAAGTTATGTTTAAAACAAGTATTATAAATGATATTTCAAAATATCTATATCTATACTTGAAATAATAAAAATTAACGTTTAAAAAAAACTAAATGAAATTTCCATTTACCAAATAACATAACAWTAATTTTTGTCGGAGACTTTTAACTATTATCAAATTTTGAATAATTATATTATATTATTTAAATTAATGATTTTTGTGTAAAATAGTTCAAAATTTAAAATAACAACATTGCAGTTTTTTATGCTCAATCGTGTAGGTTTTATTTTGTTTTTCTATATCCTTTTATCTATTTACTGACAAATTTACTCATTCGTGTCGTAAAAAAACGATGGTATATCATATACTCAAATACTCATTCGTGTTGTAGCCGGATGTAGTGTTGGCATAGACGTAGTGTCATGCATTTTTATGTGGAGAAGACTGAGGGGAAGCTTTAGCCTACAATGTTTCGGGTATCTATTTAACATATATTCTAAAAATGGTAATTAAAAAAATGTATGAAGCTAAACGGTATTCCGGAGGTATAGCTCGCTTAGCCCCTCCCCCTCATTCTACAAACACAAATATCCATATTTTTGGCTATTAAGTAGATTCGATAGGTACCGATCGTTGAATGTGTTCAATATTATGGACAATTTTCTATAATTATATAAGTGAAGTGTGCATGCAGGTCGTATAAATGTGTACAATAATGCGTTATACAAATATTATTTATTTTGTTTTTTTTTTTAGTTAAAGGTATTAATATTTTTCCAACCATATTAACAATAACCTAGAAATCCGATAAAATAGCTRAATACAGAGTATTTGAATTGTCATAGAAAGCACTTGAAAACAACTGTCTAACATTTTTCAATTTTTTAAAATTAGTAATATTCAAAATTTTAGTATCCATCTAACTTTGAAAGGTTAAGGAATTCAATTCTAAAAAACTAATGACGAATTCAAAATATGCATATGTTTATGCTTTCAGAAGACTTACCTATCCGATGACTAAGATAGACGATAGAGTTGGCATAAGATAGGTCTACCGGTCTGTGTATTTTTATAGAAAACAGATCGTTGCGATCGAATCGTACCCCCTTGTACAAAACGCATAAAATGCTTATGAAGACAAGAAGTAGGTATTAATAATATAATATTATTGGTGGGTTAGTATGTTATTAAAATATTAGCACAAAAACTCTGAAGCTCTAATGCTCTATCGCTGTSTGGAAATAAAAGATATTATAATGACTTAGTCACACAGRTTAGATAGATATGTGGAATGTTGTAGCTTTTGTACCATAAGATTTATTTTTCGCGAATCTCATTYTGATGCCCACATCTYCCACTGTTCATTTTTTGATATTTAATATTTTTCTGTTATATTGAATCACTAAATGCATGGTACCCAACTTACTGTAACAATAAACATTATAAATTATAATATTGTATTGTATTCATAATATATTATCGTACATAATATAGTTAGGTATTTCAAAAAAATAATAAGTAATATTAGTTCGTAGTTCGTAATCAATTGATTGRTTGGTTAACATGGTATTGATATGAAGTAAATTAACTAAAATTATTATAATAATTACCGTTATTAATATTATTATTTTAATAYAGAATGAAAATAAACCAAACACACCAACACAAAGAAAAGTGCTTAAGCCCCAACCGACTCCATCAAATAATAAACCAGACAATGACAATMTTGGAAAAAATCCAAACGATGTTGATTCGGGGGAAACTGGAACRCCGACGACGTTCATAGATTCGGGTAAACGAGTTGTAAAAACTATGCAGAAGATTKCCTCCAGACGTGGTGTTGGCGTAATGAACGGGTTTTCTGGATTTTTGAAAAAATCTGACGGTGCATTCAACGTTTTTGGAAATTTCTTACGTGAGCGAGCGAATAATKTGAATGAAGTGGCTGAGGAGAGTTTAGGGTTGGTATCGGGTTTCGGTGACAGTTCAACAAGAGGAGCGAAAAATTTAATCAAGAGTAGTAGAACTATTGGTGCAGAGGGTGCAAAAGAATTAGATTCCAATTTGCAAAAACTTACTAAGTTGGGTGTAAATGCAATACAATTGGGAGGTACTGCTGTTGGCGCGCCGATTTCCCTAGGCGGAAACGCATTGGCCGCCACCAATTGGGTTGTCAAAGCTCCAAGTAAAATATCGAAAAAGGTTACTAACAGATTTTTCGGAAGAAACATAAACGAAGAAGAAGATCAAGATGGAGATAGAAATAAAAAAGGCGTTTAAACCAGTCAAACCACAAAAAACGATTAAGTTGTTGGTAATCAACAGTAAAAAAAAGGAAACGTTATAAAAAAGGAAAACAAATTTAAAACTGTCATCGAAAACCTGGCAAAAAAACCCCCGTAATTCAAAAGGAAATACAATTATAACAAAATAACTCACTGAACTAAAACATAATAATTATTATATTGATAATATTTGTAAAAATTATTTGGATGTGATTATAACATAATATAATATATAACAATGGATTTCTGTCTGTTTGTTTGTCCTTTATGCACTCCTATAAACGGCTGCACCGATTGCGACGAAATTTGGTTCAAAGATATATTAGACCAGAGACCTATGGGCAGAAGGTAAGCTAAGTTAAAAAGTGATAGGCCCAACCCCGGGTAGGTGTTCAAACAGACATTTTGAGATTTACAATGGAAATTTTTGTTCATTTATAATATACTGCTATTAGTGATGGTTGCTATTATTCTTATATATTTCTTCTCATTGTTGTATTATTTGTATAACATATATCTCTGAATTATTTTTAACAGTGCACTTCATAGTCCGTACAAAATTCTAGCTCTTAAATTATGACTCCCCCCCCCAAAAAAAAAAAAGATCAATTTGGTAGTTATACGCCTCGAGCGCGAAAGAAAATGGCAATACGAGCTTCAGAAAAAATCGAGCAAAGGTATTATGAATGATAATTAGCCTATAATTGTATTACTTAACCTATCTTCTGCCCACAGGTCTCATATATCTCTGTACCAAATTTCGTCGCAATCGGTCCAGCTGTTTAGGAATGTATATAGGACAAGAATGTCCCGCGATGATTTACCCATCATTGGGATATCTCACGAAATAATGGAGA